ACGCAAAGATCTTCCGAGTCCTAACTATATACTCTATCTATCTATTTAAAAAGTACAAGGAGTGGCGCTCGCCCCTAACCTAGTGTACTAGACAGCAGAGTAGTCCTATGTGTTGCGAAATGTATGTCACGTGACCTTCTTACCTGTCCGCTTCGTCCAAGCCTCGTAAACAACGATAAACTAAGAACAATGTACGAATAACAGACAGATAACGTGCACACAGAAACAAGCAACAACAAAACACAGTTAGACGGGGTAATTTCTAAACGCAGCGGTAAATACAAACAAGCGACAAAACAGCGAAAGAGAAAAATGCAAGCAAGAGAGAGCGAGTGGTCTGGCGCACGCTTTTAACACGGGTGGTCTTTGCTCATTGGATGTGACGTAAGAGTGACGTAACCGGGGAGGAATGACTGACAGCTGAATGGACCAATGAACGGAACCTGAGAATACATGAGAGCAGATATGGGAGAACAGAGCGAGAGCGAGAGAGAAAAAAACACAAATACATAACAAGCAGACCTCATCAGACCTCCATCAGGTCTCTAGGAGACTTCATCCGACCTCCAGCAGACCTCATCAGACCTCCAGCAGACCTCCATCAGATCTCTAGCAGACCTCATCAGACCTCCAGCAGGCATCCATCAGACCTTCAGCAGATCTCCAGCAGACCTCCATCAGATATCCATCAGACCTCTAGCAGATCTTCAGCAGACCTCCAACAGATCGCCAGCAGATCTCCATCAGATCTCCAGCAGACCTTATCAGATCTTCGTCAGACCTCCATCAGATCTCTAGCAGACCTCCATCAGATCTCTAGCAGACCTCCATCAGATAACTCAGACCTCTAGCAGAACTCCAGCAGACCTCCAGCTGATCTCCAGCAGACCTTTTCAGATCTCCAGCAGACCTCATCAGATCTCCAGCAGACCTCCATCAGATCTCCAGCAGACCTCCATCAGATATCTATCTGACCTCCATCAAATCTCCGTCAGACCCCAGCAGATCTCCAGCTGACCTCCATCAGATCTTCAGCAGACCTCCATCAGATCTCCAGCAGACCTCCATCAGATCTCCAGCAGACCTCCATCAGATATCTATCTGACCTCCATCAAATCTCCGTCAGACCCCAGCAGATCTCCAGCAGACCTCCATCAGATCTCCATCAGACCTCAGCTGATCTCCAGCAAACCTCCATCAGATATCTATCAGACCTCCATCAGATCTCCGTAAGACCTCCATCAGATCTCCAGCAGACCTCCATCAGATATCTATCAGACCTCCATCAAATCTCCGTCAGACCTCAGCAGATCTCCAGCAGACCTCCATCAGATCTCCAGCAGACAGGTCCTCGTTGTCATCAGTGTAGTTCAGTCCAGATGTTGGTCAGTGAAGCATCATGTTCTGCTGCAGCTGTTTGATTGACAGTGTGATTATAATGTCCGTCACTCAGAGCAGATCTGATTGGTGTTCTGTCTGGTCCAATCAGAGTGCAGCTTCAGTAAGCGTGTGGTGTGTGTGTTCATGGTGTTGTTTTTCCTCAGCAGCAGACTGAACCCTGAGTCAGGATCACACGACGCCTACACAGCCGCCCACACACACACCCACAGGCCATAAGCGCACACACACAACAGGACTCTAACGGTAGCACTGCGAGACTCTGAGACTCATAATGATAACGAGTAACCCTTCATCAGA